ACTCTGACCCCTTGAATCCAAATCTCAAAATCATGACCATATCCTAAGATATCACTAAGAGGCTTGTAGGTAGGACATCATCGTGAGCAAGTTTAAATTCTCAAATCTCTAAGCGTACCACCCAAACTCTCCTATGATCCCCACTCTCTGAAAGACCCAGACTTACCTCCTCTGAAATATGAAATCTCTTAAGACTCTCTTGATAGGACTCTTGTGTAGGAAGGTTGAAATACTGAAACTCGAAAGAGTATCATCTGAACTCAAAACTCTGACCCCTTGAATCCAAATCTCAAAACCATGACCATATCCTAAAATATTACTAAGAGGCTTGTAGGTACGACATCATCGTGAGCAAGTTGAAATTCTCTAATCTCTAAGCGTACCACCCAAACTCTCATATGATCCCCACTCTGAAAGACCCAGACTTTCCTCCTCTGAAATATGAAATCTCTTAAGACTCTCTTGATAGGACTCTTGTGTAGGAAGGTTGAAATACTGAAACTCGAAAGAGTATCATCTGAACTCAAAACTCTGACCCCTTGAATCCAAATCTCAAAACCATGACCATATCCTAAAATATTACTAAGAGGCTTGTAGGTACGACATCATCGTGAGCAAGTTGAAATTCTCTAATCTCTAAGCGTACCACCCAAACTCTCATATGATCCCCACTCTGAAAGACCCAGACTTTCCTCCTCTGAAATATGAAATCTCTTAAGACTCTCTTGATAGGACTCTTGTGTAGGAAGGTTGAAATACTGAAACTCGAAAGAGTATCATCTGAACTCAAAACTCTGACCCCTTGAATCCAAATCTCAAAACCATGACCATATCCTAAAATATTACTAAGAGGCTTGTAGGTACGACATCATCGTGAGCAAGTTGAAATTCTCTAATCTCTAAGCGTACCACCCAAACTCTCATATGATCCCCACTCTGAAAGACCCAGACTTTCCTCCTCTGAAATATGAAATCTCTTAAGACTCTCTTGATAGGACTCTTGTGTAGGAAGGTTGAAATACTGAAACTCGAAAGAGTATCATCTGAACTCAAAACTCTGACCCCTTGAATCCAAATCTCAAAACCATGACCATATCCTAAAATATTACTAAGAGGCTTGTAGGTACGACATCATCGTGAGCAAGTTGAAATTCTCTAATCTCTAAGCGTACCACCCAAACTCTCATATGATCCCCACTCTGAAAGACCCAGACTTTCCTCCTCTGAAATATGAAATCTCTTAAGACTCTCTTGATAGGACTCTTGTGTAGGAAGGTTGAAATACTGAAACTCGAAAGAGTATCATCTGAACTCAAAACTCTGACCCCTTGAATCCAAATCTCAAAACCATGACCATATCCTAAAATATTACTAAGAGGCTTGTAGGTACGACATCATCGTGAGCAAGTTGAAATTCTCTAATCTCTAAGCGTACCACCCAAACTCTCATATGATCCCCACTCTGAAAGACCCAGACTTTCCTCCTCTGAAATATGAAATCTCTTAAGACTCTCTTGATAGGACTCTTGTGTAGGAAGGTTGAAATACTGAAACTCGAAAGAGTATCATCTGAACTCAAAACTCTGACCCCTTGAATCCAAATCTCAAAACCATGACCATATCCTAAAATATTACTAAGAGGCTTGTAGGTACGACATCATCGTGAGCAAGTTGAAATTCTCTAATCTCTAAGCGTACCACCCAAACTCTCATATGATCCCCACTCTGAAAGACCCAGACTTTCCTCCTCTGAAATATGAAATCTCTTAAGACTCTCTTGATAGGACTCTTGTGTAGGAAGGTTGAAATACTGAAACTCGAAAGAGTATCATCTGAACTCAAAACTCTGACCCCTTGAATCCAAATCTCAAAACCATGACCATATCCTAAAATATTACTAAGAGGCTTGTAGGTACGACATCATCGTGAGCAAGTTGAAATTCTCTAATCTCTAAGCGTACCACCCAAACTCTCATATGATCCCCACTCTGAAAGACCCAGACTTTCCTCCTCTGAAATATGAAATCTCTTAAGACTCTCTTGATAGGACTCTTGTGTAGGAAGGTTGAAATACTGAAACTCGAAAGAGTATCATCTGAACTCAAAACTCTGACCCCTTGAATCCAAATCTCAAAATCATGACCATATCCCAAGATATTACTAAGAGGCTCGTGGGTGCACCAATCTCTGAAAGTCGCATTCTCATAGGAAGGTGGAATCACTGCAGGCCTAGCAATTGCATACAGATACTCTGAAACTGAATAATTTTGTAAATATGTGGAAAATGAATCTCATTGAAATATAGGTGGACTCATTCATGAAATATATACAGCGAAATTTCGGGGAAGCAAGAAAGAAGAAAACAGAAACTCTCATCTTCTAATACATCTCTACTCTATTCTCTACCTATGAAATGATATTGTTTGTCGTAATTTTCGTATTTCGTTTATCGTTATTGTGTGATGGCAAGTGAGGACTGATATCAACGGTGAGGAAACAACTTTTGCAGTCTTTCGCATATTTTGGCGTTGGTTCAGTCATACAAGTTTTGGATATCTTTTGTGATAAATATAAACTTTTTGGATTTTCTTTAGATATACTTTTGAATTTTCGGAATAATAAACGTTTTTGGTGTGATTCTCTTTGTTTCTTACAACGCATACAATGAAATACAAGTTATACAAGGAAAACATATTTTATGCTTTTTCCGCTAAAATAAACTATTGAGGCCCGTGTAGGTTTTGTTTCGAAAATGAAACAGGGTTGTCTCACCAATCTCTGGTGACATAAGTACCGTTACTTGGTTCAAACGATGATGATTTCTTCGTTCGTCTGCTCCTTACATAACAGATTACAAGTAGAACTAATAATAGGCAGGCAACCGCTGTTAATCCTTAACAATTGAAATTTTAATGTGAGTTCATATCATCCAATGATACTTACCGATTCCTACTCCTAATATGATGTGTGGCAAGGTAACAGTATTGAATAATAAATAGTTATGAGAATAATCAAGCATTTCAATTCTCAAGTTCAACCAAAAGCAAGGAATGAAGCTGTTGCGAATTGTGGATGGAACCCTAGAATGTTCTTTTACTTGCTCATCAGAAATGAAGAACATACGTGAACTGTTGTGAGTTATAGATGGGCACATTGAACTGCGTCCGGAAAAATCCACCTACTGTTGAGCCAGTTACCTACAAAGAAATAGATGATAGTTAAATAACTGGATCACTCTGTTATTGAACATACGGGATTGATGTCAAACACTCCTGGATGATGAATTGCTGGATCAGGTTGTAATCCATAAACGTTTTCTTGAACTTCCGGAGGAGACCAAATGAAATGTGGAGGAGAAATGAAAGCAGCCAAAGGAAGCAACTCGTATTTTCCTGCAATATATTGATGTATGTTGTAAAGAGCCTTGGTTGTACCTGGGAAACATCTGAGAGGGAACATGCCTGGTGGCAAAAACACAGTATCTTTGTAATGAGTACCATTGCAGCAACTGCTGCACCAGTTTTCTCTTTGAGAGCAATCGACTATACAACCAGCAGTTGCATTATACTGGTGATCAGCACCACACGGCCATGTAGGGAAGTAGTCCTTAAGTTAGAATAAATAAATTGTATCCTTTTCAAACTGACTATTTTTTCATAATTCTCATATTGATATCCTTTGTTTTTTCTTAAAGTCGTATCGAAGGTATCATCATCCATCTTGAATCGATATGCAGGTATATTCCTATTTGAGACGCTTGAATCATAATTCAAGTAGAAGGAGCTGAAAAGAAAACTTTAAGTACAAAGTTTGTGGCTCTTTCGAAAACACAACCGCATTACGTGGCGACGTGACGTTAAATGAACTATGATCATAACGACGTGGCTTATATGCTAATGAGTTTGATGTACGCATAGCTTTCATTTTCATGTAACGTGGATGAACTTACCGGCAAACAAAAGACTGAAATTGTTTCAACTGATCCTGTTTCTTCAAATTGGGTTTCTGGAATGATCCATCTAGAATAACAATGGTTTTGCTGATTAAATAGGAATAGATAAACCTCCAGAATTGGAAATATCTTGAGCATTATCATCTCTCCACCATGGTAAATGGGATGAGTTAACCCACTTTTGGATTAATCCCAAACTGAAATGAGATGAAGTGTCGTTGGAATTGACTTCTTACTTGTTGACGTTATCCTTTCCTGTTAATGTATAGTAACTACCATCTGCCGTATGATTATACTATAAGAAATGTGTTATTTCTGACACTCTTCACAGGATTATACAAGAAGAGAGATAAGAAAAGCAAAAATTTGATGTTTAGTCTTCAAAGGAAATATTTCCTCGGGAATTTTTGATAAGGGAAGATAAGAATTCCATGAAATGAATACAATACTACTCACATATGGGAAGAATCCACCTGCTGGCTGTTGAGGGAAGCTGATTCCAAATGTTTTACTGAGAGCCTGAACACATATCATTGCAACAGTCAATACTACAACTCCTTACTATTGATAAATTGCTGTTCATGAAATCGATCAAAGGATCATTGTAGCCACTGAAAGTTGCTCCGGCCATGGGGACAACTCTATAACTCTCGTTTGTTAAAGCCCATATCAAGTTCATTCAAACACCTGAGTGGATATTCTCCGAGTAAGAGAGAGAAGATATCCAAAACCTTGACAGCAAAGTCATTTAGGTTGTTATCTATTTTCATTTTGAGTAATGTCTGAAACATGCTGAACTTAATTAGATTAAATGTTATCAAGTTTTAATCATAAACTCCTTTCCAACTTCTTCATTTGCCTTCATGATCTCTGTCACATTTTCTTTCCATTTTCATCTTTGTTTAATCAGGAATGTTTTTCATTATTTTTAAATTCAACTGCTTTTGATGGAAAGCACAGAAGAAGGCGGAGGGTGTAAAAAGGATTAAAAATTCAGTAGCCGAGCATTAAATCATGCCACTGTCTAATCCGACACTTCTTCATTTGAAATTATGACAGGAGTCGATTGGAAGAAGAGAGAAAAAAAGTTTTTTTTTCCATCAATCATCCTTTGTTAGGAAACTTCCTCTACGGATTATCTGATTCTGATGCAAATGGTAAAGAGAAGACCGACTGCACAGACTGCACATGGCGCCAATTTTCTTATCAACTTTCTCTTCGGCTCGCCTGGCCTTTTTATAAGTTTTTTCGATTTTTGAGCTTAAACGATCAAGCACGTGTGTCCCATAATAAGATCTTCAAAAGTAAACAAACCATAAAAGGCAAATTCGGCATATTTAATGGATCTTCATAACCACATGTTGTACACGAATTTTGAGGATCAAATGTCTGATAAAGGCAATATGGAAACAGTTTAATGACTTAATTGACTTACCCATGTCTTATTGTTGGAATAATAAACCATGTTGTCTCCATTCATCCAATTTATATTTTCCTTGAATTCTCTTTCTCTTTAAATAATTTCAATGAATAAGCTTGTTACATATTAGAACTTACGCATAAGAGTAGGGACCAACTTGAAGCACATGAGCTTTAGCTCCATTATACAGTACTTCATCGGGGTTGGTGACATTGAAAAAATAAAAGTCAAAATGTTGAATGGCCGGTAAGTTGCTCCAATAGTAAGTTGATTTAGGAAACTGGCCTTTACTGTTTCTTCTGTGAAAGAGATATGGTTGGGAGCGGATAATCTAATAATCTGAGAACTCACTGGATATATACTTGAGAATCTACGATTTTTTGGAAAATAGCCAGAGGGAAGGGAATAAGCAGGAATAAACCCAATATTAATAAAGCCGAAACAAAAAGAGAAATAGAAATAAGAGTACAACGCCGCATAACTGCTGCTGCTGTTCCCCCCACCTATCTAATTCTTTTCTTATCTTCTTGCCTAATAAAGTCACATAAACACAACTATACAGCCTGCTGCATTCTTTTTATGAAAATATCTTCCAGCGTAGCCTTCTGAATCTTCCATAACGATGATGAGTTCAGTCGTGGCTTTCCAACTTTGTTCAACAAGATGTTCAATACCACATCGTCCAAATACAATGTGGAAGCAAGCATCGCCCATCGCAGAAGATGTCAGACAGATCGAGATCTTCTTATTCCAGAGCATGAGATCCTCTTAATCTAAACTTTATCCCTTCTTTATTCTCATTCACTCTCTATCCTCAATTCAAATTAATCTAAACCTTCAGCAGCTGATAAGAAATTGTTTGATGATAATTCTTTACCAGGACGTGACGTGGAAACGTGATAATGTAGCGTGTGCAATGTAAATTTCAGTCTAATATTCTTCTCAGGACCAGACTATACTCGAAAATTTAACAAAAATGGTTAGAAATAGGTAGCTGCATAGGTTAGAAGAATAAAAGCAGAGAAACACATTTGTTTTTTTTATTTTCATTCTTTGAATCACGTGAAAGGTATGTGGCAACGAGACCGAGCAAGAAGAGGCTGAGGGATGAAGAGTCGAGAACCAATTTGAACGAAAATGTTTTCGTTAATTTACTTTTTTTTTGTTTGTTTTCACACATTTTGAGTTTAAAAAAAACAAGAAGCTGTTTGACCATCTGAGGTTAAACACATCCAGTTGTGTACAGAAAAACAAACGAAAAAACACATCAAAGGTTATATAAGGAAATGGCAGATGCAATTAGAAGATCGATGAGAATGAGACTATTACTGGCGTTTGTTTCAATCTCACTATCCACACTGATTCCCGAAACTTCTTCGTCGCAACTTTCACAGCCCAGAACTTTGCAGGATATACTGTTTCACGTGAAGACTGGAGTTTCGGATGTTTTGAAAAGAGTGAAAAAAGTTGAAAATGATATTGTTCAAGTTGTGAATAACATTACAGGAACAGTTATGAAAGTAATACTTCTTACATTAAGATATAGACATGTTCGTTTCTCTAGATTACGGATGAGCTGATACATCATGGTTTACGTTTGGAAAAACTTGGAGCTATCTTCGCCGAGAGAAACTTGACACATTACCGAGAGCAACATAAACATGTTGGGCTTCTCAAGCAGGTTTATATTGACTTCCAATGATGAACGAATCTTCAGATTTTTTCTTTTAGCTCATACCAGACGTGTTGTTCGACAGTGTTTTAGCAATAGCTGATCCGATTCTGCTGAACATTGAATCAGGACTTTCAAAGTTCTTCTTTCAAGGGGATATCATACTGACAGAGTAACGGTTCTTTTCGAGTAGTAATTCTCATCTTGTTATTAGTGACCAAATGGATAAACTCTCGTTATTCTTTGACGATGTAGACGACAAGAATGAGATGGAAGGCAAATCGTGGAGAAAGAAGAGGCAAATCACAAAAATGTTTGATAGATGGACAGATAATACATTGTACTACTTCGTGGAGGATTCAGTTGGTGAGTAGACGACATACCACATTTGAGTATGTAAATCCTTCTTCAAGATGCAAATACTCAGAAATCTGTCCAATCTGCTCTGAAATACATTGAAGATCGCACTTGCCTTAGCTTCAAATATGATAAAACTTCACCGAATAGAGTTCGAGTTTTCCCAGGAACTGGTTGTTACTCTTCTGTTGGCATGATAGGAGGACAACAGGATCTATCACTGGGTGAAGGATGTAGTGTGGTAATAGATATTAACGAGAGAAAGTATATTTCATGAACTCGTTCTTAAGATTGGAACTGTGGCACATGAGTTCACACATGCACTTGGTGTGTGGCATACTCAAATGAGAGATGATCGAGATAAGTATGTAACAATCGACTTAGATGCAGTTGAGGTAAGCTTAAAGAGTAAACTATGTAACCAATAAAGCTGTTGTAAGGACAGTGCCCAAGCTAATTTTGCTAAGCTGGATTTTCAAGAAGTATACAGTGTAACTCCTTATGAGTATGGAAGTTTCATGCACTATGCTTCGAATTCGTGGGTTCTCAACTTTAGTTCTACACATTGCGTCTCTTAAAGGTTTTCCAAAGATAAAACATCAATAACGATTGTGCCTAATGAATCAGAATACGTTCATACCATGGGTAACCGAATGATTTCCTTTTATGACATGCTTATGCTGAATCATCATTATGAATGTCAAAGTTTGAAGCGTTCGACTTTTCGTTTGAGCAGAATTCTTATTTAGACAAGTGTTCAGCAAAGCGGTCGGCGAAATGTGTGAATGGTGGATATCCGAACCCCAACGATTGTAAAAAATGTGTTTGTCCGTTGGGATATGGAGGAAGTTTGTGTGATCAGCTTGTATGTTTATTATATTCTTGTTATCTTCGAATGTACGTTCTATAGCCTGATGAAGGTGGTGAAGTCCTGACGGCTACAAACGATTGGCAAACTTATAAGATAGAATTAGGAGAGAATACAACTGAACTCCGGGACGACTTCATCACAGAAACATATTGGATTATAGTAATTACAAAAAGTAGATGAAGAGGAAAGAGAAAAATATTTTTGAGGCACCTCATGGATATAAGATTGAAATCAAGATACTCAACATGTATAACAGCCAATGCCAGATATCATGTCCATATAATGGAATCGAAATAAAGAAACTGCCTGATATCCGAGTTACAAATCCCAGGTTTGTTATTTTCATAATTTAGATTAAAAAATATTTTTGAAGAATTTGTTGTCCCGAGTACAAGAATATTCTGTACACAAGTGAAAATAATCCCACTCCAATTATAACGTATAATCGTTTCTCTACGGCACGGTTTACCATCACGTATAGATACGGTAATGGCTATCCTCATCAATACTAACTATTATTTCTATTTCAGTTCAAGAAGGTGAGCTTCAGCCAGGAGAATCATCATTTGCACGAGCAAACATACCTACTCGAGGAGAACGTTCATCACTTTACCCTTAATCCGTTTTCTCTCTTCACTCAGTTTTCTAAAATTCGAAAATTCAAAGTTCAAAGAACTACACTTAGAAATTAAAGACAATTGTATTGTTGAAAATAAAGCTGAAATCAAACCTCCGACAACAAAAAAAGAGATTCTCTAGTAACTTCTTCCACACTCAACTATGATATCATCGTTGGTAACATCAGAAATGAGTTTTAGTTATACGACTAGTAGAGCAACTAACTTCATGCCATTACTCTGTTAAAGGCTCTCTCTATCTCTTCGTACACACAACAAAAATAATATTTCAACCGGTCTATGCGTTTGAAACTTGAAAATGACTAGTTGCACGTGTGAAAATCTCACGTCGAACCGCCACGTGAATATCTCACGTAACGTATTGAATGAAAGGTGTTAAACATGAAGCTAATTAGAATATGCGTGAAGCGTCACGTGAAGATACAGAAAAACATTTGAGAGATAAAGGAGATTTTGATTGGTCACGTGGGAATACATTGAAAGACAAAAACAACATGAAAGTTCGAATAAATAAAAAAAAATATTTTATTTTCCATAGAAAATTGAGCAAAAATAAGAGACCAAATGTAATTTCTTCATAAAAAAAAGTTTTTAAAGCTGACTAAGATGTATAGGAAACCCTGATATGTGAATGAAAACCTTGAGATTCGGCTTGTTTTCAGATCTTCGGAGGGGGCTCATAACCTTCATCGGTTATGATAATGGTTGATCGACGACTGAACGAATGAAACTTATCGCTATCAGCAACATTCGGCTTTTCCTCAGCTGTTCCTTGTACAGCCTATAATACATTTAATTTTCTTATTATCAATCAAATAACTTTGTTACTTTTTTTCTTTTGACAAGATAACGGAAACAACGAATTCTGATACCACTAAAGTACATCTGAAGAATAATGAAAAGGGTAAAGATAAGTACAAGAACTGGTCCCGGCCATGACCACTCTGGCCTCGTAACCAATTGTTCAACTGCAAAATGTACTTTTAAAGGAAAAAATTAAATGTGAAGAGCATTTCCTTGAGAGGAATTAAGAGATAAAATGTAAACGAACCGACAAATACTAAGAAAAGGAAAACAACTCCGAGTGCAACAGCTGACATGACCGAATAAGGTAGTATGAGATATGGAATAGTAAATTTGATAGCCAATAAAGCTAATATATTGGTTGTAACCCATAAAATCTTAAAAATAACAAATTGATGATCCTTATAGGAAGATGATTAACAAACCTGAATTATAGTTAGTGGAAATAAATAATCGAAGAGTATAATTTGAGAAAAATATCCATAAATATCTTCATAATGATCTTTCCCTTGGATCAAATTGGCAATTGAAAAAACTATTCCATGAGAGACGGCTAAAGCTTCAATGACCTAAGAAGATATATTAAAGATATTAATGAAAAACTAATTTGGAAAGCACCATAACACAGACGCAGGAACATTGCAAACTGATCTTGCATTTGGATCGAATTTCTCCCATAGGAGTTCAATTCTGTAAAATATTGATTTGAAAGTAAAAGAGAAAGAGAGAGAGAGAGAGAATGAGGAGTGAAGCTTTAAATAAGCAGAAAGAAATAGATGGAACACAGTGACATATTTTGTCTGAGAACTTTGTAGAATTGACAATCGTTGATGACCATATTTGGGGTGAAAGAGGACGTCTTCATAAAATAAAGAGAGAGAGGAAGATATGTCATTTGAGTGAGAGAGAAATTGGAAAGAAAAGGGAGGCATTGAGGACAATAATGGCAGAAAGAGGTTCTGTTTGAAAAGAGAAAGAGACAGATGCTCTTGCAGACACTTTCAAGGTTATGTGAGAGTAAAAAAAATCTCAATTTTTCGAGTAAAATGAAAGAGAGAGAGAGAGAGAGAAGTTATCAAAATAAACAAATGGAATGTGTACTCATTTGTTTGTCTTTCATTCATTGGACTAAAAAATTAATTTTATATTGTTAACTATACGTATAGTTAGTTAGAGGAAGTACATGAAAGTTCATGATGAGTATGAGTGTGTGTGAATCAATCCAATTGTTACACTTTGCGACAATAAAAAATGGAAAAAATTAGTTAAAAAAACGAGTTTTTCATCCAAAAGTTCACTTCAAAACTCTTATAATATCATCTTGAAGTAATGAAAGTTAGTTGAGAAATGGCTGATCGTTCCGCCGTTTGGCGCGATTTCATCAACTGCAGACTGTGACTATAGGAGGGAGATTTACATCTCAAAACAAAGCTTTTCTCTATTTTTTGCTTTAAAAGTAATAAAACTATAACATATAACCATATGGGGCTAGTTGTATGAGAATGCGGGAGGAAGTACTGAAGTTGGAAAACAGGGTGTTCGTTTACTTTTGTATAAAGAAGTAAACAAACGCAAGCTTATGCATCTCATGAAGGTATCCATTGCTCCAATTGGATTCAATTTGCCTTCTTCCACGAAGAACAATGGCGATTAGATAATGTACAGAAAGAGAGTGGGAGATGAAAGAAGGAAAGAGTAGAAGCCTAATGCTTTCTGACAAATCTTTAAACCCCTGCTGTGCATAAGTCGTGGTGAGCTTGAATCTTTTCAGTTACCTATGTATGAATCAGGCTAAACGCCATTCAGTTATTTTTTGGATGAATCAAAAGTTTTTTTTTTTGAGGAGAGTGTCTTGAGGAGATTTGAGAGAGATTCGGAAGCGTAGTCAGGCGTGAACACAGGCAATCAGGCGGGGAACCACAAAGAGTGATCGGAGTAAAGCTGAACGAGAAATGTTCTTTTAAAGAATGCTTTATATATATTCTATTGGAAAAGAGTGGGTGACGGCGTTAGGAGAAGAGAAGAAAATTGAGAAAATTTGAGAAAACGAAGAGCAGAAACTTCTGGTCAGTGAGGAAACATTGAAATGTTAAGAAAAACAATGTTCATTATCAAAGTAAGAGAGAAGGAAAGAGAGAGAGGAAGAGAGAGAGGGGGCAACGTGATCTCTCATTGATTTTATAGATATTTTGAGAATTTAAATGTAATTGGGTGTGTGAGTGCTGTTGGACATGTAATGACAATGGAAAGTAAATTGAGCTTTTGGAATATCAAGCTTAACCGAGTAAGAGAATTAGAAAATCGAATTGCGAGAAAAAAATTGGAGAACCGTTGTATTTTCATGATGAAGAATTGATTGTAACTATAAATGAGATTTGAATTGCATATGAAATGGAGAGTAAATGAAGTTTTTTTTCAAATTATTCTTGAAATAAAAGAACAGAAGAGAGAGAGAGGAAGATGTCAGCTGTATAACGACTGTGGCGAACAACATGCTTGGGCATGATAAGCAAGGACACTGATTTCAGTACACATTTATTCGTTCTTTAAGCTATGGACGACGTTTCAAAACAACAAGTGACCTTTTTATTTTGAAGAAGAAGCTGGGAAAAAGTCTTTTTTTTAAGTTCACTTGCTAAAGAGACTCAATAAAAAAAGCGAACTGGACAACCGTTGAAGAAGAAGAACTGCAAAGCCTGAGAGAATTGTTGAAGACGAGCAGAGAGATTGCCGTCGATGGCGAAAACAAAGAGTGATTGGTTATGAATCAAATAAGCTGGGAAAAATTATACGAATTCTACGTTAGGAAGTACACATGAAGTCAAGCTTTCAGTTGTAACACAAGGAGCTCAGATCGAACATCGGATGAGTGAGAGAAATAGAATGACATTGACTGAGCGAAGCATGCGAGAGAATACGTAAAAAGAGAGAAGAGATACAAAATGAGAAAAATAGAATGGACGATGGGAAGAAAAAAGAGAATGCAACCGCTTTCTGCGTGAAAATCGCATAAGAATGAAATGCGTGAATATGGATGTGATGGTTTGCGTGAGCACTGCCGTCATTCACGCGAATCGATAAGTGAGGCTCAGATCAACTTGATGTTCTTTTCAGTTCTAGTATGAAAGTGAGAAAGAGATATGATGAGAACGAGAGAAAAAGAAGAAAAAAAAGTGAAAAAGTTGAATGTGAGCTTTGAAAAACATTGTAAAACTTATAAAAAGTTAATTATAAAAACATATGGTTATGTATATTTAAGCGAAACTGCAGTGCCGACAGCGAAACGATGGAAAAGGAGAAGGAGAAATGCAATGAATAGAGTTTAAAAGATGAATATCTTGTTGATTAGATTGAGCTTCGTTTACATTTTTCTTCAAACTAGCCAGCTGTGTATCCCATTTTTCACCAAAAATTAACGGGAAAAAAAAGTTGAAAAAAACATTTTTTTGGAAAAAATTTCTTTGAAAGCGGTACGGTCGCAGTTACGACATGTTGTGTATGATGGCAAAAATGTAATTTATATATCATATGTTTCTAAATTATATGGTATAGTTAAGAGGGAAATTTTGTTTATTCTGGCAACAAATGAAGTTTTGGCTCAACAACTTATAAGCATTTCTCTCAAAATATTTGTAATCAAACGGGTAAATCCTACTCTTTCCACTCCTCTCCTCCCTCTCTAGCTTTCTCTCTCTCTCTGTTCCTTTCTCTCTATAGCTTGACGTCAATGCTTCATATGAAGCTTGTGCTATTAACCATAAATGGCAAGATATTGATTACAAATTGTAATTGGATGAGATTATTGAAACGAAAGAGGCAAGAATCAAGGCAAATGACTTGCTTTAATACAGAAGAAAGCAGACGAAAGTTATTTTGCTTTTTTCACTCTCTCTCTCTCTCTTCTCCTCCATCAATTGCCTTCTCTCTCGTATTTTGAGGGTACAGGACGTTTTTTCGCATTCAAATAGCTTCTTTAGGCAATTGTTAAATGTGAAATGAGACTTAATTAGAAATTAAAAGAAAAATATCAGAAAAATCTGAGAAAACAAAAAAAAATAAATTTCGGACACTATGGAGGAGAGGAGATGAGTGTGACAGTTGAAAGACGAAATGCGTTTACAGGTTAAACAAAGTCTTTTGAAGGATTGTTTAATCAGGTGAGCAACTTCAGGATATTAGTGGAAGATTGAATTTGAAATTGAAAATTAGTTTTTGGAAAGGAAATAAAAGCTTTTTTTTGTTGTAATTATAACTCTGCTGAAAGAACTACCTTTCATTGGAAATTTCGGCTTTATTCTATTCGTTACCATAGATACTGCATACCTATTATGATTATTTCATTTTTGTTGATTTTCCAAAAGATTAGAAGTAGAGAAAAGATATTTATAAGCTATAAAAATTGAATTATACATATTAGGAGTGTTGTGAGGAGTGATCAATGGCTCTCCTCTTCACCTACACCACTGACTTACAAATCGTGCAATCTATAGGGTCAAACCTCTTTCTCATACTACACAATACACAAACTTATAAGAAATATTTTGTGTGAACTAGCCAAAAACAATTATCGATTGCTCTACCAACTTACATTATCTTCAATTTTCTAAGATTTATTGGTTTTTGTGTGTTTTTTTCGGAATTCTTTCCTTAGTATGATAGCAGCAGATGGTCGACGACCTTGATGTGCTACCAATCCTTCGGCAGGCTTTTAACATTTTAAATTTGAAGTAATTGAGGTATTTTCGGAATTATCTGGCTAACCAATCTTGGTCAATGCTGTTAAATCGTCAAATACGTACGTACTTGTGCTTTACCTACTCAGTATCAAGGATCAACTCTGATATCGGATGCATATGACTGGCAAGGGAAATCACGTGCTGTGTAAGGAACTCGCGTGAACATCGAAGTAATCTTTATTAATAATTGAAAAACAAATATTTGCTCTGTGTAATTAGATGGCATTTCATATTCCAATGATAAATGAGTCACGCTGCTTCTTATGAAAAGTTGGATGACGAATCAATCCAGTCTTCCCGTCATTTTGAAATGTCATCATCACCATTGAACGGAAATGAACTCAAGAAACGAATAAGAGGATGAACATGTAAATTGAATAAACAAATAAAAATTGTTTTCTTCTAGTTGACGTCATCATGTACATCTCAGTTACTTGTTCCAGTATTTTTCTATTAAAGGGAATTTAGCTAGTAATGTGTTCGAAGGTAGAAGAAGAATAGAGGTAGAGAATATGCGGAGCAAGAGAACACAAAGAAAAGAGCTGATGATTCAAATTGCCTGGGGGACACGTCTCTTCTGCTCTTCAACTCCAAACCGGTTGTCCATTCTAGTCGGCTCAACTGCGGTACATAAAGAGCGTTTCAACCGGACTGTCTCTCCGGAAAAAGGGTTTCGCTCACACTAACTCTAGCTCTTATAAGTGCATTCAGTCTATTCCAATTAAATTATTTTCCTGATGTGGAAAACAGTTTTCGTTTTTCTCCTTTCCTATATAGGAACAGTCAAGTCAATTGGTGAGTCTCATAGTTTCTTCTACCTTCTTAACAGAATGCAAAATGATCAGATTTTTGTTGTTTCCCCGCTACTCATCAAAAATCTTTGAGATGTTTCCAATCCTTCTCAGTTGAACCATGCAAATTTTGTGAAAAACTTGAACTTCCGTTTTCTCTTCTTTGCTTGACACTTCTTTCTTTCTGTTGAAGGATGAGGAAAGCTGAGGGATAAGAGAGTATCTCCCATTCTTCTTCTGCTGCTGTGTTTTGCTTTCCCAATGTGTGGAGAAGGGGGGGGGAGATGTTATGAGAGTAGGAATAATGTATTCTTTTATTATCAATTATAGTATCGTTTCATGTGTTGGCTGTTTAATCTTTAGAGTACATTTGCTATCTTCAACATCAAAATTCTTCTTTTTCTCTTATTCTTATTGCTTTTCTTGTTTGAGCTTTTCATCTCATCTGAAAATACAAGAACAAATAGATCAGATGTTCCTTCTTCTGTGTATTGTGACCAATGACGGCAATTGTTTTCAAAACTTTCTATTTTTCTTTTCTCTTTTTTTTCATTTTACGGTCTAAAGCCAAGACAGGCATTAGTATGTTCATTTCTAAGAGAGCAATATTCTCCTTAAGCAAACTCACCAAGAGATGTTGAAAAAAGAAATCTGCTGAAACAATAAAATCTTAAAAATTACTTTTCAGGGAGTACCATAGAGTCTGGCCATGTATGTATGACAGTAGAGCATTTCCGTAAGGCTGACAACGCTTCACAGTTCTTTGAATGTTCCCCATTAGGAAAAGAAGAGGTTATCCATTACATACTTTTTGATTTAAACAAAGCTTTGTAGATTGAGGGATATCATCTCTCCAATAACTATTTGGGAGTTTGGAATCTACGAGACTGTCCGAAAAGTCATGAGTTCGATGAATCTAAGCAGAGATGTGTTGATAGAAAGACCTTCCGACGTCAACAAGCTGCATGTACCCAGAATCCTAATACATCGGGTTGTCAAGCTGCTTGTACAGGTAAACTCATACGAGCTTCAAGAACAAACATCGTTCTTCGCTTAACATTAAGCAATGAAGTACAACTTCTAATTTTAGCGGTCAACTCGAATCCTGTTGTTGGTTCACCATGTAATTGGTTGACATCACAACTCCAAAGAGACTCAGCTAGCAATGCTTATTTCCTACAATGTGCACCTTCAACACCAAGGTTAACTTGATCAGACAGTGTTCGGTCAATTATCTTTTATCTTTATAGTGTCGGATGTGGTGAATGGCAACGCCTTCCATGTTCTTCGGGAACCGTTTTCGATTCTAACGCTGCAGTTTGTGTTCCATTAGCTACTCAAAATGCTTGTGGGGCTCAACAAGTATTTGCAATCTGGTTTTGAGTATTCATGAAACTGTTCAGGTTCCCGTTTGTGACTGTGCTCGAACTCAATCTGCAAACTCTTGTCCAGGTGTCACTACTTGTAATAATGTCAGTTACATTTTCGTTTTCATCATTCATTTTTGTGTTCTAGAACGTTTGTTGTCAAAGAACAGATGTAGCTACAGGCAATTTCATTCAACATCAGGCTCCTTGTAAGGGATATTCAATTGTTTCCTACTCTCATTTTATTTGTTTACAGTGTGTCCAGGATCTCATATTGCTCCATTGGCCTCGTGTACAGAAACTTGTCCACAGTGTTTGTTTAAACTATTCCTTTTATTAAGAATTATTTTATTTTAAGATTCTTCATGTGCTCCTGGAATCGGTTGTTGTCCTCTACCCATTGGAAATATAAACGAAAAACCACAGCCCACTATTCAAATCAGTATGCTAATTTATCTAATTGAAAACAACTGCGCGTGCCACACGTGGCAATCATCACGTGGCATTACGAAATCGCCTAAGTCATTTTCACTTACTAGCTTCTGCAAAATCGGCCTGATTTAATTTTCGGAAAATTATTAGTATTTGTGTGGTTTCAACTTTTTTTTGGTTTCAGCTTTATGTCCTGGTTCATACTCACCACCTGTAGGAACATGTGGGTCGTGTCCTACTGGAACACTTTGCAACCAAAATATGAAGATGTGCTGCCCGACAGCAACTCAGCCTTCAACCGATATTGTATATAATGTTGTTCTACTTTGTCCCAGTAAGTGAACATCACAAATCCAAGCTAATTCGTTTCCTAGATGGCTCGCCGGCTAATACTCCCTGCGGTAACGGCTGCGGCCAAGGATCAGCTTGTTATCAAGGAGCTTGTTGTCCAATTTCTTGCCCTGTTGGCCAGGTAAATTCAGATTATATAACGGTTTTCAATTCTAAATAATTGTAGAACCCGGTTGGATTCTGTTCTTCTGGTGCTTGCGGAACTGGTCAATGTCACAAACAATACGGAGCTTGTTGTCAAGAAACTATTAAGTTACCAGTGTGCAGTAATGGCCAACAGAGTAATCAACGGTGCTATGTGGATTCGGTAGGTTTTACATAGTCTTATTCATGTAACTCGGATTTTCTCAGGAATGTGGACGTAATATGGAATGTACGAACGGTGGATGTTGCCCAACACCTTTCTGTCCCACTGGTGCTCAAGCTCCTTCACGATGCACTAAAGGAAGGACATGTGCTTCTGGACTGTCCTGTCTTGACGGGCTTTGCTGTCCACTTCCTAGATGTCCAAATGGCATAATCTCTCTTGGTTGGTACACTTAAGATTTACAAATAGTGTATAAAATCAACGTTGTAGTATATTATTTCTTTTAAGGTGTTTGTTCTCGAACACTTGACTGTGGACGTATCGGAGTAGAATGTACTGATGGTGCTTGTTGTCCATTACCTATGTGCTCAAACAATGTTGTGAGTGCCCAAAGGTTGTTCGATTTTTCAATTTCATTTTTCATGATCTTGTTTAGATGTACTACTGGATGTAATAACTGTTGTCCCTCCGGTCATTCTTGTATGAATGGCGGATGTTGCCCTCTGCCACAATGTCCTTCAGGTTAGCAGAAATCCAAAGTATTCAATTTATGGTTTTCTTCAGGAATTGTTGCTCTTTCTGCCTGCTCAGGAACTTGCAGAAATGGTGCAGAGTGTGTAAATGGAGGTTGCTGTCCTCTACCTCGTTGTCCATCAGGGTTAATTGCAACTCAAAGATGTCAAATGGGTCTTGGATGTTCACCTGGACATGTAGGATAAACATCTTAGTTTTAAAAAGCATCTACATTTATAGCAATGTGAAAATGGAGTTTGTTGTCCGATACCCATGTGCGGCACTGGTACCGTTGCTGCTTCAGTTTGCGGTACAGGAAACTCTTGTCCAATCGGATATGTTTGTGAAGGACGAGGCTGTTGCCAAGAACCTTTGCCCTTGTGCCCGAACGGTGGTCGATCAGCTCAACGTTGCTACCGTGGAGCGGAATGTCCACCCGGCTATGGATGCACCCCATTAGGTATTTCTTGGAAATCATCCTATTTTACGATATTATTTGAGGTGGATGTTGTCCGCTATCTATGGAGCCAATATGTCCAATGAAATCCACACCAGTTTGTCAATGTTCGGCCAACAGTGTTTGCCCTTCTGGATCTTCGTGTGCCATGGGAACTTGTTGCAGTACTGGTGTGTTCTGTTTTGAGCATAACAGTATGAATGAAATTCTTTCCAGCTTTGACTTCATATAACCATGTACCTGGAGCTAACTGTCAAGCCTCTCCGCAGTGTAATGGATATGATAACGGATGCTCACAGTGTGTTCAGGTGCGAATGCTCATCCTTCAGCAAAAAACATTTATGTATATAGGGTGTTTGCGCCTGCAGTAGTGGCTCAGCTTCCAACGGAGCTTCCTGTATTAGAATGCCGCCCAATGTTTTAACTCTTGCTAGAAATGGTTGTGATCAATATGGATCTCCTTGCAAGTGAGTGTTTACAAAATAATATTAAGCTTATTTGAATGTTCAAGATTTGTTTTCTCTACCGCTAGAAGACGTCCAATATTTGCTCCTACTGGTAACGTCACAGATCAGCCACGTATGTTAATTTGATTACTCCAGAACTAATTTGCCAATTTAAGTTTTCTTCAATGTCGCTCAAGTTCGACAATGTCTGTCAAACTCCACTGATTTGGGTATTGATCCTGATAGTACTTGCCTACCAAACGAGAAATGTATAAATGGAGAATGTAGAATGTGAGTAGTCAAAAAATGAGATGAAACCTACTCTGATCTTTAGGAAACTATGGCCAGGTGAATATGGATGCTCTACTGATTTAGAATGTTCCTCTCGATGCCCGAACACTTATTGCGAAAAACGAAAGAGTGACAAAAACGTAGCTCAGTGTCAATGTAGAGATGGCATGCTGCTATACGGAAGATGCTGTAAGTGATTTCATGTATGGTCTGAAAATATATTTCTTCTTACAGTTTCTCAATGCCCTCGTGGATTCCACGAGTCTGGAGCCTACTGCATGCACGATGATGAGGATGGTTTCTGGTCTGATGCCGACGCACAGAATAATCTTAAAGCTCTGCTCAACGGCGGACAATGTTAGAGCGTACTGGTTAACATATAATATAATATTAATACTTAAGTATATAATAATTATTATAATTGTATGTACATATTGAAGCTAAATATTATATCAGTTTAATACTATGCAGCGAATGAATTTTTTATTTCATAAAATGTTACATGAGATCTTTAGTGTGGCACATAGTATAAAAACAAAATATTAGATCCGGTGACACATAATCATTTGGCACAATCTTCAATCATTTTAGCTGCTTCTCGTATACCACTCAAGTAAGCGCCTGTCATAGTTTGTGGGAAGAAACGGTTAGTATGCTGAAAAAACAGTATCAGAGTTCATGAAGTATAATATTTCTCTATTACTTCTCCAGAGAAGTATAACTTCTTATTTTCAGAGGCAGCTAGGTTATCGTAATCTTCTCCTTTACCACCTACACGAACATAAGAATAAGACATTCCTATGTGAGGATCACGACCCCAATGGGTAACGACATGACCGTCAGGGTCTGGTACATCCTTGGAAACAAAGATATTATTGTAAAATACATTACACTACCTCGTCAGGAAACATCGATCTTAAAGCGTCGACAAAATGATGTACAACCTCGACATCACTCATATTATTAACCATGTTGACACTATCACCACAAACATAAGACATTAATACAAACTTCTGCTGTTTCGATGGTGAGCCCTGAAGTGAAGCAGATGAAAATAAGTTGAACTCTGCTCCTTACTCTGGTAGAAAAGTCGTAAAACATGTTAAACAAGCCACGATCCATCCCTTTTTTGGGCACTAAACTGAAGTAGTTACACTGCCCTCCTTTCGTGGCAGATGCCCAGAACTTCCTAGGAAACTTGACAGCTACCTGAAACGGGAACAATTCATGACACCATGCTAAGAGTTAAGTACGGGAACCTTTTCTATTAAACCAGCCCCAATTTTCGATAGAGCGGATGTCTTTGCTGAAGGTAAAGGCGGATTGAACTTCACCTGCTTCTTTTGTAGAACAGATAATGGCAAAGCGATAAGAACCTGAGAACTTCATTAACTGAAACTAATAAACAATTTTTTTAATACCTTATCAGCTACTAAGCGTTTTCCATTAGAGCAGTATACAATAACTCGTCTCTTATCGCTTGTCCATTCAATCTCTTCGACCTCATGATTTGTACGAATATCAGTGCCCGCAGCAAGTTTTTTTATTATCTCCTGAATATGTGAAACCAATGAGACTCTATCAAGGAAAACTACCGATGAGCCATCCGTTAACAACGCATGAGAACCAGCAAAAAGAGCGACAGCTTCATTCTGATCCCAGTTTCTCCAAGAAACCTGAAGATGGACATATTGCGTTGGAAAAGCTGAGATATAGCTCACGTCTTTCATCTTCGCACCACACGAAAACTCTATATTCCCCAAATGAAACTGTAGTGCTCGTTCTTCTTTATCGCCCCATTTAATGTTGGCTTTTCTAAGTAAAGTTTTGTGAACCAGCGAGATTTGATCTATAAGCAAATAGTTAGTACAGCTGAGGACAGACATAGCGGTGGAGCTCCGAACGCATGCACTATTTGATACAGTTTATTTCACAACACCTCAACCCACACAAGGAGAAACATAAGACACGATTATGAACATGATTAGAAGAAGCTAATTCCTTCGTATTTATGAGCTCCTTCGAGAGGAGTATCTTCTAGAATGATTTTTCCTTCTACGTCGAAAACAGATGCATAGCTTGCTACGGGCTTTCCGTCTTTCTCTTCACTTTTGAGAGCAAGAATGAGATTGTCGTCAGTTCCGGGAACAAACTGAAATACAGGACCCTGATGGAAGTCAAACACATCTATCAAACTTGGAATGCGGAATATCCTCGAGCAGGATGTGTAATTTCACCTATGTAATGAGCCTTGAAGTTCTTGAAAGAAGCATCTGCTTCGATCAAAACGTTAGCACCTCTGAATACTTGCCGTCTTCGATTGAGCATCTTTACAAATCAAACCTTGATTCATCAGCAGTTTCATCGTAAGTCTCTTTGCTAGCACGGCGGGGTAAGAAGAACCATTTGTTGTGACTTAAACGGTAATTTTAAAAGTTTCAGTACAGCAGAAACTAACACTGAAGACCACTGAACAGCTTCGTGGATCATGTATCCAGGGTATTCAATGCCAATAGCTTTGCGGACGTTAACGAAGTTTTCGTACCAGTTTACATGTTCAACCTAAAACTTCCTAATCAAAGAGCCTTTTGAAGCCAACTTACATCTCCCTTTGGGCTCACAACCTTAACCCACATTGGATGATCATTCACATATTCACCAGTTGTTGTTGTCCATTCCTGGAAAGTAACTCCAGTGAAATTATAAGAAGTGATAGATTACTTTTCCAAGCCCTCCGACGTAAAGCTTTCTATCCTTGACTGTCATCCATTCTCCTTTCAGTCCTTTGGTTACATTTCCTGGTCCATCATTCAACAAAACCCATGGGATCGCCTTGAAATTGAATGATAACTACTCAACAAATAGTTGACGAATGTACCTGTTTATCTTTAATTTCAAAAACTATTCCAGTTCTGTCATCGACTGATAGGAGTCTTCCATTGAAAATGCAGAGATCAGAGAGTTCCATAGCTCTTCCACCAGCAGAGATTTGACTAAATTGAGTAGTTTACAAAACGGTATAGATAACGGGCCTACGTGCTTACGGAGAATTCACTTTCCTCCTTCCATTCCACCGAAGCAGTCTTACGATTCTTCCTGAAGGAAGCAATAGAGTTATTAAGTATCTAATCAATCTTACGAAAGTTTCAAAACTCCAAGTTTAGCATGGCTTTCCCAGGTGTTCTTCTTGGTTGTACTCTTGCTGTCATGGTCCAAATCAGTTACAACGATGATGTTGAATTTGGAATCTCCATTGGCTAATACTTCCGCCTGAGGAATAACATCAACGTACTGAACATTTAGAAAGCGGTTAGAGAAGCAGTGTTAGTATCAAACTTACGGAAACTGTAACAGCGTTGTTGAAGTAAAGAACAACTAAAGTCGCTACTAATAAGGACAATGTTGTTTGGAAAGAGAAGAAGTTGGAGGGTTGTTCAACTCTCTCTTTGGTAGCCATAACCCTTTAAACTAAGTTGAAGAACGAAAATTTGAAGAGTAAGAAACGTAAGTAAATCTGACCAAGGGAACAGACTCGAAGTAAACGATTAACGAAGAAAATGCCAAGTGATAATGTATAAAACATGAAAGATAAGTACACAAAATACAAATTACTACAACAAATTGATAAGATTGTGGGTTGAGATATGATACAAGTCATGCACTCCGTTTTTCTCACGACACGCAAAGCAAAGAATGAGAAGGACTTACCTTCTAAACTCGCGTCTCTGGGGGTGGAGGAACTTGACTTCCATGTGAACAAAGCATCCAAAATACAATCAAAATGTTCTTCGACTAATCGATCAACCTGTCCGAAACGGTTTACTCAAACTTGTTACAATCACGTTCATACCTTTGGGTCGATGGCATTACCAAGTTGGCCATCAATCATGGGGCAAGTTCCATCGACTATCCGATAATTAACCCCTATCTTTGAGAAAGCGTCTAATTGTCGTTCTACTCCTTCATACCTGCTTGCACATCAATATAATTGGATTGTTTATGCTTCCTGTAACTAATTGTGCCCCGCAACCAACAGCTACACCCAGACTCCAATCGTCCTACGAAGTTTTCCGTACATACTATACCAAAGTATTGAAACAGGTTCTTACTTTCATGCGGCCTCCAATATGGTTCTTGGCCTCTAACAGCTTTACACCAACACCATAATTCCTTAATTGGCGAGCTGCAGCTAGACCGCTGATGCCACCACCAACTATCACAACTTCTAACTGTTTCTGAAGGTAACTCAAATGAACCTTTTTTGCCAAGGGGTTAACGAACTTTTTGCGATTCCACTATTTCTTTCGGTATATCAAGAACACCATAGTTAATGATGTTCTTCAGAGATAAGAACTTCAACACTTTCTCCAACTCTTTGATGTACCATATGCGGGCTAAGCCTCTACATATGAGATGAGGTATGCAATCGGATAGTGTTAGATATTTCTGAAAAATAGCCATACACATCAGAAGTCAAAGATGAACACTTACAAAAGGATTAATATTCCAAAGAGTGACTATAAGGTTTCTAAGAGCAAAGTACAGAATGGGCTCAGTAGAGTGTTCAGGAAATTCTAGCTAAACAGTTAACTTCCTCAAGAGATTCTTTTAAAAGATACTTACGACTTCATCATACTCCATTACATCTGGACGAAGACAAAATGCTTTTGACTGTTCCTCGGGAATATTGAATGGGTACATGAACTCCGAAGTTTGACAACCTAGGAAAGAGGGTTGAGTTCGAGAAAAGTAGGTAGAAGCATACTTAAGGGCTCATATTTACATTCGACAGGACTAAGTCCAACTTCATCATAAAAATAATGTCCTCCTTGGAGGTAATGAAGGCAAGGGTTGTTTTGGAGAAGAGGGCTTACAGCTATAGAATAAATCCAGGAGAAATCTCTTGCGTCTGCCACGCACTTAAACAGAATTTGATTATGAAACTTGACAACTAGAGGCTTACAGCTTCTTCTGGGGTTCTACAGTTTTGACATGTGAAGCTTGAAATTTCTTTAGAAGATATAACGTGCTCCAACTGTAAACAGCGATACTTTTCGCAGTTTGTGCAAGCAACCCAATAAGGTAGTATTTGATCCTGAATGACTCAGTAAGTATGAGAGATGCCACTAAACCGAACCATTATGAAAGCTTTAACTCCCGGGTTACAACGGCTTTCCTCTATCCAATCAGTTTTCCAGTCCAAAAACTTCTGACTAAAGGCTGTCCCACTATAACTTGAAGGTAAGATCCCGAAATGTAATTAAACTAACGATTTCCACATAACATCATAACAAACATGGCAGACGTGCTCGCTCCGAGACAAGTGATGGAAGATCTTTCCTGTGGCGTCAATGGCTGATCCAACGCAGCTTAACAGAAGCTATGATATATAAAAACACTAATACATACTTTTCAGAACGTTTCAAACAACAAGTCTTATGGAAAGGACATTCACTTCTTTCACAAGAACATTCTCGGGAGTCACCGGATTCATTCTTAAATAATCAGATAGAATGATCACCTTGCCCAACCAACTTTTGAATCTTTTTCCTCTGTCTTTCCATCTTGAGTAATTTTTTTGATGGCAGCTTCGGCACATTCTCTTCTTAACTTTATACGCGATGATGCAGATGGCGATTCATCCTCGAAGTTATGCTCGTTTTCCAACTAGAAACGAAGTTCATTCTCGATATGTGAAAAGCTCCTACCTTTATGCGCTTCACTGGCCTTCTGGGAGAGTCTGACGCAGGACGTAAACGGCTCTTGACTGGAGAAGGATCGAATAAATCAATATCATCATCCTCATCTTCTTCTATTTTTTTGTTAGGTGACTGACTAGCGACACGGCTCATTACTAAAAAGGAGGAAGTTGGCGTCTTTTGGTAGTAAATAAAGGAAATAAGAACATCAATCGATAACCTAACAATTGGCCCCTCTGCGCAAGAGAGGCCAGTCAAACAAAATGTAACCACTGAGCTGAGTGCAAATATATTCCGTGCACAGGATCTTTTAAAACTTATATCTTATAACTTTAATAAATGTTTGTGGTGGAAAAGGAAGAATACGCCTATCTGCGGCTTGCTATCGCATTGTAACTATGAGAGGACGACGGGATGGTCTGAGAGCAATAGAGAGACAGATGTCCTCCAATACTTTGTCTGTCGATGCTGACCACTGATGGTAATTGGGATACATGTAAAGACAGAGAGAGTCAGAGAGGAAGAGAGAGTAAGAGATAAGAAAAAATGGTTGGAAGAACGCAGTGAGAACGACATAATGAATGTACTCGAAAAAAAGTGTGAACTGTTCATTAGTTGACGGGATGTGTGCGATGTAAACGTGTACCTAAGGACAACAAAAGGTACAAATGAACTTAGCTTGTTGTTAAGAGAGATATTTGATCCGTTTATGATGCTAAATTGCATCAGAAAACATACATCATATATCAGAAAATTAATATTCAAATACTATCTAACGTATCTCTAGATGGAAAGCACGTAGGTTTTTAAAAAAAGTGATATTTGTTGTTTCAGTTTAAAAAATTAATAATATTCTGTTATATGAGCAACATCAACTTTCTATACCATATTGGTTTGGCTGTTATGCAAATTGTTGGGGAGGACTAATCATGCTATCGTCGTAGAAATGTATGAAAATCACAAGTTTTTGTTCACTATCTCTCCGTTTTTCATTCTGTTTTTGCTCGTGTATTTTTGAAATTTTTTCAGGTATCGTCCTTCACATATTATCGACAACTATGACTGATCCCACTACGACTGTCGGATATCCTTATAAGAGCTTAAGGTTTAAAATATGTATTCTTATGATGTTAGGTAAGCTTCTACCTTCTTATCCATAAACCATTATGAACTCTTAAGGACTCACTACAACAGTCTCAATGAGGGTAGATTTAAGTATGGCTGTTACGTGTATGGTTAACTCAACCGCTTTCACAACACCTCATCAAGCTTTACTGTCTAATTATACAACAGATGATTCGTGTCCAAATTTGTTAGGAGACGCTGCAGTTGCTACAGAGTCAGGTTATAATGTCTGTTTGAAGTTTACCTACTTAGCATAATGGTATTCGAACTTAAGGGTGAACTTCTATGGTCGCCGCATATGCAATCACTATTATTCTCTGCAACCTTTTACGGAGCTATGTTAACAACTAGTTTTTCCGGCATAATTGCTGATCGTTTCGGCGCAAAGTTTATTTTGTTAGGTAATTTATAAAGTCATCCCGTAACATGACTGGTACTTTGATCGCATGAAATTAGCATAGCGTGTTGCTCACGTGAAAAGTATGTCATCGTTTCATTTATAATGTATGACGTGAAGCGAACGGTTGCGTTTTGAAATTCTCAAATTCTCAGCTGCTGGTTGTCGTTAGTCCAGAGATCTGTTGCAAGTTTGCTATTAGCCTTTCAGCCAATACTACTTTTATAAGAATTCGAATCATATTCCAATAAGAAGCTGAAGCTTAACGCTGCCAAACAAAGAAATCAGCATATATCGTTTTATCATTCAGAGATTGTTTTTTTTGTTTCTACGAAAATGGAAAACACTCAACGGCAGAAGACTATTCATCTTTCACCTTTTTCCAGGTGTTGTGTTGGATTATGCAATCGTTACCTTATTCACACCGTTGTTAGCTAACTATTCATACTATGGCTTCTTTGCAGCTAGAATCATCATGGGCATCGGGGAGGTAACAGAATAGATAAATACGTTCACGTAACAGAGCTTCTTCCAGGGATTCACTTTCCCTTGTTTGAATTCCATTGTAGGAAAATGGTTCCCTCCTGGCGAGAGATCTTCAATGGCAGCTATTTTCACCTCTGGAAACCAAGTAAATCTTGAACTGACTAAGCAAGCAAATTCTGATTAACAACAGATGGCAATGGTTACATCAACGTTAATATCATCCTGGCTGTGTGGGAGTTCCTGGGGCTGGCCTTCAATATTTTATCTTTTCGGATTTCTTGGCTTTATTTGGGCCATAATCTGGTGTATAATCTTCACAAGTCATCCTAGCTCAAACAAATGGATATCAGAAGAAGAAAAAAATTATTTATCGTTGTATGTTCCTAAGAAAGGAAAGGTATTCAAGATTCACATTTGATTGCACAGTACATGTGCCATTCAGAAACATGTTCTCCTACCATGGAGAAGTGTTATAACATCAATCCCCTTCTGGGCTGCATTAAGCTGTCAATATACTTTCAATCTCCAAGCTGGTATTCTCCAAGCATTTGTTCCTACCTTTTTGAAAGAAGAATTACATTTACCTGTTGCATCTGTGAGTCTCCAGCTATTTCCAAGAGTTCAATGTTTTCTAGAACGGCTTATATTCTACTATACCCTTCATTAACCAAATGGTTTTCAAAAATGTACTTGGTGCATTGGCCGATCATTTGAAACGGAAAGGGATTTTGTCACATACAACGTCAGCTAAGCTTTTTCAAACGATATGTATGTATTGCATACTTCTTTTCCTAGAGTTATTTCCTTTTTTAGGCGCCGTGGGGGCGGGCTTATCCATGCTATGCTTGGTTCTCTTCTCATCGTGTCATTATCCTTGGATTGTTCATATAATCTTGGGTGTATTAGGTATGAGGAAGCTTCTAAACGTAGAAACATGCTCTTAACCAGGATTTTCACTATCTTCAAGCGTGCCTGGTTTCTTTACAAGTATGCTGAGTTTGGCTCCTGGCCACACAGGAACAATCGGCTCGGTGGCGATGATATTCGGAACCTTAGGCAATCTCTCCGGGCCTATGATCTTGAGTGGCTTGAGCTTGGTCACTCCTGATGACAAATGGACGAACTTGTTCCTATTTTGTATGGTGCTTAACGTGCTTTCAGGGATATTCTTCTTTCTATGTGGTTCCGGTAAGTTCAACGAACCGGTAGAACGTTTGTTGAAACTTCATTTTCAGCTGAAGTTCAACCTTGGGGCAGAGACAAGGTGGCTGATGTCGAAATGGAGAAGTCTGAAAGTAGTGGAAACTAGGTTATTTTGTGTGTTATCCCTCCTTGCGAAAATGAATTTACTCTCTTCTTACGCTCATCATTTACACGAAACTTGATAGACATCTGGCTATTTTTCTTGCGAATTTGAATTCATAAGAACCATCTGCTTGAAGGGAAACACAAGGCAAAAACCAACCATGAATGACAAATCATACAAAACACGTGAAATTATAAAAATTTATACTCCAAAAAGAACAAAATGTCGGAGTTGGCCAAGTAATGATTATCTGAGGAAACGTAATAAGTAAATATATAAAATAATAAGCAAGTATGGATAAATGTTCTACTCGTAAGACAGAGATTGGCAACACAGAATCGCAACTGAGTGCAGAACTAAACAAATGAAGCACGAGAACTTTAGGCGAATTCTAAAGGATGACAAAAAAAAAAGAAAGAATGGAAAATCTCAGGCAACTGAGCAATGAAGTCCGGACATAAACCTAGGGCTATGCTTATTAGAAAAAAAACTCTTCGGTAAGTATTTACAACTAACTACTATGCATGGCAAGTTCAGACGAAAGTGTTAGGTATCATACTTCGGGCGGATCATCATAACTGTTTGTCGAGGATGAATGAAGTAAAGAGGCGGTTGCCCACTATGAGCGGGAACTTCGAATTGATAAACTAGATAACGAAGTTTTTTTGATTTATCTCCGTACATTCCATTTAAAGCCATTGTTGTACAGCTGTTATGCCACCAGCCCCTGCAAAGCAAACTATGAAATCAAATCTGAACAGAACGTTACCCATAGTTCCGAAGCTGAGCACAATTGGATGAAGGTTCCATGTCATTGTCTCTATCAATGGCTGTGAAGGCCATGTCGTTACTCATCTGCTCCCAATAAACCTTCCTCGCCTTTCCGGGCGCTGATAAATTACCGTTGATCTGGTAATCACTGACAGATAACTTATAACTTGAAGCTGCATCTCCTAGCTTCAAAGAAAACGTTTAGATTGCCAAAATCAAAAACAACTAACCCCGAAGTCCCATTCGCCCCACCAATAACCATCAGGTTGGAAACTACATTGTTCACATGTGTCACCTCTGAGTTCTATACGTAATGCCCATAAAGGTCTATCTGAGGGAGCCAAAGCATTAATAATATCCAAACCCAGCCAATGAGAAGCTGAAAAATGAAAGTTCAAGACGAAAAGTACTTGAAACTACATGCTAGATCTCCAAAACCAACGGCGTATTCGTTATATGTTCTATTATAGAATGGCATGTTACCGTCAACTCGTCTATGAAAGAACAAGATTAAAATTTCCAACATTTCAAACATACTTTTGAATAACGGTCCATCCTCCTCCATCTGTCTCCATGTCACAGAAAGCTTGATATCTGCCTTTGCCATCAGGGGAAATCAGATAAATCCCAGATCCGAGATTCTCTACTTTGTGTTCCAAACAATTCTATCAAAAATTATCTTACTGAGATTACTTTATTCTACTTACCTTCCGTACAGAGGTGGAAAGAGGAGTATGCGACACAATAGTTGGTCGGGGATCTTTATATGTCTTCTAAAAATTTGCATAAGCTGTTAGAAGGAAGTGGGTAACCTGTGTTGTAGGAACTGGGGTGGTAGTGGTTGTAGTAGACGTAGTTGTAGATGTTGTGGTCGTTGAAGTAGTCGTGGTCGTAGTGCGCGCCTTTGTGTAAAGTCTTGAAGACAATAAAAAACCTATAACTTTCAACGATGATACCTCTGGGTAGTTTTGGGCTTTTCAGTCGTTTGGACGTTGATATGCACTATGCTTGCACGAGTCGTAGATTGCCTGAGAGTTATCTCTTTAAACTAGTCATAAACCATCGGTTACCTATTGAAAGACGGCGGGACATGAGTAGTGATAATCCTGGGCTCATTAGCGTTGTGATTATTCTGAAAGCCATGATTGTAGGAAAGAAGTATAGGAAGATGGTTAAGAGGTCATACAAGTTAAAGAAGAACATTTGAACCAAATAAGAGTCAAACTAAGCAAACTAAACTACGTGCCACTACTGTTACCTGAGCTGTGTCGTCCATTTTTAAAAGCGGGACAACTATAGGAGGCTAAAGGATGAGGGGGAGTGTTAAGAAACATAATGAGAAGAGAAGTATAATAAGCAAAAAAGGCTAACCTTATTACCAAACATGCTGCCTCCTTTCAATGGCTCTCGTGATTCTTCCGATGGAGCTTCGAGTTCTTCATAGTCGACGTTATGTTCCGATTCATCTTTTCGTGTCAAAATGATGATGAGAAGACCAAGTACTAGGAAAAGAATAAGGAGAATAGCTACGAAAAGAAGTATTTTTTTCATTCTAAATCAAAATCATCATTATTCCATTCCAAACCGAAGACTCACTTATTACTCAAAACGCTCTTCTTCATTCTGGATTCTGCAGCTAAGCATGGATCAAGCTCCGAGGTATCCATATTTCCTCGATAATCGTTGGGGTATTGCCTCATTTTTCACTACTTTTCGAGTAATTTGTAGAAATTATTATCAAAGAGGCATCCACCTACAATAAAACCTCATAAACGAGACCTCACAGAGACAACATTCCGAATCAAGAGGGGTCTACCGACACAATAAGTGCGAACCATACTAGGCAAATAATGAGAAACAAGTTATGAAATCAAGTAAATGAAGTCGTATAAAGTAATCAACTATCTATCGAACCCCCGAGAACAAGCTTATAACTCCAGCTTTATGTGAACCAGTTAAACGCCTATTGAAATTTCACAAATTCGAATATTCCATTTTGGCGCGAATTCACAATAGAGCATGGTTACAGGAACTATTGAACTGTCTTCACAGCACCATATTAGATGTATTTATATTGAAGAATTCGGCAAAGAAATACAAATATGGGGAACAATAAGGTAATTGTATTGTGTATATCTTAATAGTAAAACATTACAGAGAGTATTGTTGGACGTGCGACTGTTAATGATGTCATGAAAAGACTCAATAGCGACGACTGTAGTTCGGCAGTTTCGAAGTTGGTTACTCAGTTCGAAAGACTTTCGGTTCTCAAATCAACTCTGTATTAGAGAAGAAACGTCATAGGTTTGTCACAAAGAACTTTTTTTTAAATATCGGTGAGGAAGAAGGAGAGAAAGGTTGTCAAAAAAACTATCAAAAATGGCAACATGTTGGTCCTATCGAGGAGGTCAAATTGTTAAGAATACATAATGGCCATGTAATGGTTTAGATGGGAAAGTTGGTGAAGCAGCTGACGAGACATTAAAGCTTTGAATGTGATATGGTAGGTGGAGGATATCCAGCTTAAAACGATTTTTCATTAGTGCTTCTGTAATTGATGGATGTCGTTTAGATAGAGTGGTGCACTCGATGAACATCTCGAGGTTAATCAAAAAAATGAAAGAAAGAGATTTGTTGCCGACGGGAGTTACAAATTATTTAAACGTGAATGAGCAAAATGTAAGAAGAATATAAACAGGATATTGACTCAGCGGAGTTAGAGGAGGAGAATTTAAGGCGGACCAAGGTCAGTGAAAGGCTAATCTGTTTAGTAGAGCTAAATCTTAACGGGCATATCCAATGTCTTAAAGTTTCACACCTTCTGTTTTTGAGTTGGTTAGACCTGAGAGGAAGAGGAACGCAAAGAGGGAATATGAAGAACGATAGAGAAGGACAACAGTTGTTTTTTCTCAAAAACATCGATGATTTATGTTTAACATGAAACAATATTTGACAGAGGGAGGAACGTTCGGAGCTATTGTAAAAAGCCTGAATTTCAACATTTCTTGATAAACAGGTGTTGGTCAATGAAAAAAAATATTCGTTTTTACACTCTCAAGTAGTAAAGAAGGAAATTTGCAAACGGAATTGCCAAGTAAATTAGTTGATAAATGATTTTTAGATAAATATTTGAAGGAAATGTTTTTACAGATGAACTGGTTTTAAGCGATAGTTAAAGGAAGAACTTGACATAAACTATCATCTTCGTAAAATAGGGTCAAACGAAGTTGAAACACAAAGTGCTACGGGAGTCTTTCAAACTTTCTTCCAAAAAAAATGAAAAGGAAAGCTTTCATACATTTATAAGTGAATTCGAAAGTGAAAGAGGGAGAGAGGCTAGTAGCTAATAAGGACACAAAAAAAACAATCTTGTTAATATTTAATATAATTGCAACACAAGATCATTTAGGACAGTTTGGACTGCATATTCTAAGTTTACATTATGTCAGCTGGCTCAAGCATGTTTCAAGAGAAGAAAAAGAGTGGTAAATTCCTAAATTATATATACAACATTCAGAAATATCTTAATGTGTTTATGTATGTTTCAGAGAAAGAAAGGCTTGGACAAAGCTTCTACTTTTTGCAATGGGCTATCAACCTATACAACTACTATAAGGGAAAAAAAGGTCAACTTGTCTGTCAATTTCAATTAGAGAAATGAAGGATAGTAATGACAGTTTCAGCAATGTGTAAACCATTAGTTACTAACATAGTTACTCCAACTCCATATTTGGAACGAAAACATGAGATCCATATCTCAATAACGAATGAATAATAAAAGACATCAGGTAAGCTATCAATTCTATCAAAAGGATAAACCCGTTTAAAGCCGTCATTTTATCGTCCACCCACACAATTATTTGGCTTTTATGATCATGGAGACGATGAAGGACGATATGTCAGAAACTTATTGTTATATCGAAATCAAGAAATTAATTAGAAGTTTCTTATTTCGAGTTAAAGGAAAGGAGAGAAAAAATAAGATCAACCGTTCAGCGCGTCCATTGATAATCCATTGGCGTGTCATTAGCATATAGCATTGCCTGATCGCACTATATGCTAATTAACCTAAACAGTTTGATTGAAGAGGATGTGAAAGAGTGTGATGAAAGTCATTAAGTGAAGAACATAAAATTGATTTACAATCCAAGATTAAAAGAGATCCGCCAAATATTAAGAAAGTTACACCTTAATGAGAGGTGTTAACGAATGTAATACGATTTTCATAAATCAAAGATGAAACAAGTAATTCAATTTTGAAATAATTGCTGAAATTGATGTTAACTTATTGGATGGGAACTTCATGTAAGTTATTTTATTGATTTTTTATTGCATACCAATTGTTTTCCTGTAACCATATTGATTGTGCGTCTACCCATATTCTCTATCTGTTGAGTTTTTAGGCTTTTGAAGACAAAAGCAAATTATTCTTATCTATAAAACACTATTGATTAATGGACATCTTCACAGGAAGGACGTTTGTTGTGAGTTTATTTCGTTTTATGTTTTATACTTCCTGCATTCCAGCTAACATTCTTAATTGCTTCATGCTTTATTATTAATTCACAATGTGAAACACTTGTAGAAGGATGTTCCTCACACTGTCATCCAGCTTTCGATTCGGTTAGTGAAAATGAAAGTTCATACTATGTTATAGTTTCACCTTAGACTCTTGAATGTTTCAACAAAACGTTGAAGTTCTTCGAAACTTCTTTATTTGGAGTAATGCGCAATTATGTCAGATCAGAGGTTCCGTTTCCATTATTGGTTCTCAAATAGTTTTTGCTTCAGATCAATGTTGCTACCAGTCGTAAAAATAAAGTTCCTTATACTAAAGAAGAGCTTGTAACACGAACAGTCAACGTTATGAACACCGTGAGTGAAACGATACTAGTTCCGTAATACCAAAAAACAGGTGCAACCAATGGACATAGAAGATGAAGGTGGAGTATTGAATGCTGATCAAGCTAAACCAATCGTTCAATCATTAGTGGATAATGTCCAAGTGATTAAATCATCATGAAAGTTTCACATGTTACTTTATAGGCGCTATTACCTTCAAAAGGATTTTTGAGTGTTGAATGTCCGATTGCTTGTGAGAAGAGTGATTCGCCTTTCAGTTACATAATTTATGGATCTATGGGATTGAACTTGATTTTGTTTGTACTTGGATTGATACTCATATTCATAAGGTACCTTATTGGTGTTGGTTAATCGTCTTTGACATTCACATATAGTGAGAAAAACATTGCTGCAAACATTCGAATGGAAACGGACATCCTGGTCACTAAAGAAGAACTCAAAATGTATAAGAAGTTGAAAAAAGAAAACCTAGCTCAATAAATATTCGGCTTTTATTACAGTTTTATGAGAATTCGAGTACTTTAGTGAACATCAATTGTTCCGTTTGTGAAGCTCAGAGACATACGTTGAAACATGACGACGGCAGAATAGTAAAAAGTGTTCGTCTCCACCATATTTTTTGTGCGTAACCTGTACCTTTACCTGTACTTGTATCTCACTGTTCCAACGACTATTTCACTCAGGCTTCGGAATGCAACCGTTCTGAGCGGTTAGGGTTGGAATGCAACCTCTCGCTGCGTTTCAGATGAGACCCTGACTTGTCCTGGGTTCATCCGTGGCTTGCAACGAGCCGATGAGCTCTTTCCTCTTCTCTGAAGGACCTCCAGAGAGAGAGGAGTGGAGGTCACCGGTTCACACTGCCAACTGACGAGATTCAGGAGGTCAACGGCTTATAGACCCCGCGAAAACGGGTCACATGAAAATAATTTTTACGTGAAAAAAAAATGACCCGGTTGTTCTTTTTTGGAAAACTGCTGTAACTCACCTGACACAGAATCAAATTGAATGTTTCTTGGGTTGAAACACAGAATTCAGAAACAGGTGTGCAGTCCCGTACCTATTTTTGATGGCATGTCATCTTTGAGGTGACAGAAAAAGTTTGAGTAAATAAAAATAAATTTGATATTTCTAATCAAAATCGAAAGCTCAATCTGAATATGTAAACCATTTTCAGAAATATGCTAATTTATTCTTGGACCTGTGTCTGGGCAGACACCTTGTTTGGAAAAGTTCCAAAATGCACGACGTGAACTCTGAAACACGTGTGCAGTCCCGTACTAGTTTAATTTATCCGCAGCGCTCTAATCATAACTGACATAAGTAGGTTACTGTAGTTGCCCAAAACTTTCTACTGACACCTTAATTGTTTTCGAAATTA